ACACTCTCCCCGCTGTCCGTGTCCATGGCATCGGCCAGTTGGGCCTCCTGCGACATGGCCCTCAGTCTCCAATCGCCGCGCACGGCCAATTGCGACCTTGCCACGCATTGCCGCCATTCGCCACCAAGATGCGCATCCAAAATCGACCTTCCGCCACAATTTTCCACCGGCGCAACTCACAATCGAGCCCAATCTTGCGTTCCTTTTGGCTCTTTGCACTTCACTCAGCCTGGCCACGGCGCTGCACGTTCAATCCGCACGTCGGCTCGCATTTTCCGCCATCAATTCCCGCCGAGATCCTGCTGATTCAAACGGGCCCAACGAGGGAACCCGGAATGGCGTTTGATTCAGCACTCTGAACCTATCGTTGCCGCTTTGCCAGCCTTGGCGCAACTCTGCGCGCCGGTCTACACTTCGATTCAGTAAAGATTCACTCGCTGACCCACCAAAAATTGCCTTCTCGGCTCAGCCGGTTCGAGCCGCAATTGGCCTTGGATGTGGCCTCCTTTCTCAAATCCCGCTGGCCGCTCAGTTTGGCCGCTTTGCTGTGCTCCCAGCGCCCGTCCTCACATGCTCGGTGCGTCGAAATCCTAGCTCCGAAACCAAAATCTGTCAGCTTCCCTTCGGGCCCCCGCCGTCGCGAGGGGGCCTCCGATGCACGTGGTGGTTAGCCGCTTGATGCTTCACCTCCGCCGGGTCCGAATCGTCGGACTATGCGTGCTGGGCACGGCGCTTGTGGCGGTATGCTCGGGGACAGGCGAGCTTGCGGGCTCCGCCGGCCAGGTCGGCCGAGGTCGCGGGGTCAGGTCGCTGGCGCAGTTTGCTTGCACAAGAAAGGATCATTACTACACCGCACTCACCACATAAGTACGGTGGTAAGCTCGCGGGCCACCGGTGCGGAAAGAATACGTGTCATGGCACCCACACCGGTGCCTTAGTGCATTGTCACTGTACCCATATACTCCATATTCTAGTAATAAATGTCCTGACTGCTTATAATCTGATACAAGGCATCGCCACCATCGTCTGAGGAGACAAGACCCCCGGAGAAGGCAAAGCCCCCTGTGAAGGAGGCGAGACCATCGAAGGAGAAGAAACAGCCTAAAAAAGCCGAGAAGCAACCTGAAAAGGCAGGGGAGGAACTCCAAGGAACTCAGAGACCAGTTCCAGATAGCATTACTGCTGCATTGACTCCTAAAAATCCTGTTGCGAGTACCCATTTGTGTACTCGTGCAGAAATTGGAGACTCTACTGGTAATGACGAAGTTGTGTATCTTGGATCAGCAGGCACACCAGCTGATCCTATTCCTCTAAAGAGGAGGGAAGTGTACGGTGCTGTGAAAAGACAAGAAACAACCTTGGAAAAGGCGAGGGCAGAAGCTGATAAGGCTGCCCGGCTGCTGGCCGTGATGGGCAAAGAGGATTACGCCGAGTTTGTGCAGTTTCAAGCATCCTGGCGTACAGCCCGACAGCCCAAAAGGCCTCCCGTTGGGGAGAGTAGCTCTAGACAGGCACCCCGGGGAATTGTGTACTGGCAGGAAGCCTGATCCAGTGTTCTAGCAGCGCATGGCATAGCAGCAAGACGTGGGATATGGCTGGACCAGAGGACCCATTCCCGTGGTACATGCACCTGTAATACAGGATTTCCATGGGTTTTGGGACATGCTTGGGGCGTTTCATGACCCCTTCGGTGGTGTGTACTACAAGGGGTACAACCATCCGAGTGGCGGATGAGCCCCATATCATGCAACGGTTCCTCTGGATGCTTTGCAGTGCACCCCAGTCAAGCTGCGTGATTTGTTCAAAGTGCAGCAGACAGCGCTGGGCATACATGTGTCTGAGAGCCATGACGCAGCCACAGAGTGGCAGGCTGTACAACGGACGGGCTGACGAGTTCCGGTGGAAGGCATTGTGCAAATACCAGTGGGCCCTTCAAGGCTGTCTAGATCTTCAGCACTGGTTCGTCCAGCTCCTCAGCCAGAAATAGCACAAAGACAACCAAAAATAGCGCCAAGACAGCCGACAGTGCCTGTAAGGGGCGCGGAGCCTTGGCAGCAATTCTGGGCCCGTTGGTCCAATTCAGGACCCAAGGAACGGGAAAACTCATGGTTACAAAATGGGCAGAGTGCACTCGTATTTATAGGTGCCCGCCTAGGAATCCCAAGGGTCACGCCAGAAATTGGTGAGTCATCCCCAATTCTGGCATGCCCGCCAACTTTGTGTTCGAATGCTTGTATCCCATCCGTATTGTCATTTGTCCCAAGGTCCTCGCAACGCTTAAGCCCACATACAAACGTTCTCAAACTCATCAAGCGCAGCTCTTGCCTGACCCAGAAGCTCGCAAACTCACGGTGGCCACCCGCGCTCACCCGGGTAGGTTGCGCATGCAATGGGGCAGCTGCGTGCGGGCAGGTGACTCTCCACCGGATGTAATCGCTCATTTTCCGTATAGGTTGAAAGCGTTACATCATATCCTGATCCGTTTTGACTGGAGTTACATTCTATTGGCTCAATTCACTGGTGTGTTGACGTTGTTGATAGACTATTGATAATGCAGTGACAAGCCCAGATGGTCTAAAGGCAAACAACATATCTCACTTTGCCATTATTTCTTACTTCCTATGTCCGGAATTAAATGAAACAGTTTGTTTGAGAGGTCGCATTTACTTCCTCCGTCCCATATTAAATGTCCTCTATTTTAATATATCAGACACTTGCCCATTTTCCTTCAAAATTGGAGCAGAGCACCCTCCAGAAGCTCAGTAAGTTCTGCCAAATTTTATGGAGAACTGATAAGTACTGGTAACATGACAGTACTTTAAACCCCTGTGACTCCAGCCATGAACTCGAATCTTCTCAAGGTCTTGCCGAACAGCCCCCCAACGGGGTAGCCTTGTGACTGATGGTGCACAGCGCAAAGTGGATATCTGCAGCCGCCATCATGGCCGCACGTTGGAGACGTTCCAACCAAACAGAAGAGACCGCGAAACTGAGTTCCGCACAGTTTGATCGTTGATTGCGACCATGGTTTTGATGGGCCAGCGAAGATTTCAGCTCCGGATCGGAGATGCGGAAATCGGCGAACATCACAATCACGGGGTTTTGAGAACGAGCCGGCCCCATGGGTATGGTCGCTGTAGGCGCTAATATGACCACGAAGAGTTTGGAAGAATCTGATTGTCACCTCGCTGCGTGGCAGTCAACAGATTGCTAGACATGCCCGTGTTGTGCACATGCAACAAGCACCGTTTATGCCGCTTTGAAAGCTGCCGCCATGCCAGATTCTTGTGAGCACCATCGGAAAACGCAAGAACACTACCATAAAGACACTTGGGGCCTCCAATTGAGCATCCACATCCCCCTTCCTCATGTTTGAAAAGGCTAATGCCCGCTTGAGTGGTGGTGCTCCCTATGCTGGGCAAGCCATCAATTGGAGATCGGTGCCAAGCAAAGAGCCTTTGATGCACATAACTATTGTGCAGCTAGTCTAAGGACACAGGAGACCTATTGGCAATGGCCAATCCCAGACATGCTGGTGCGCCATCGTGGACATTGGCACAGATTGCCCACGAACACTGATGGCGATGGGCAGACCTAGCCGCCAGTTCCGCCGATCTTCCTTCGTGAAGGGTGTCGATCTATGGGCTAGAGCCCAAGCAACGAGGGAACCTTACCCTTCTGATACTGCGATGGCCACCAAAAGGGGTATCACTCGTGCGTGGGGACTCGCTGGATCCAGAGCTCCGCGTTTGGCTGGCTCAGCGAATGTTCAAATATGAGGCCCGAGTCGTGTGACTTCAAAGTACTACCCCGTGCATGAATCTTATTTTCTGTTAATGAATTTTTGACAGCATTGGCTAAACACAGGTTGCGTGCTTTGGTCCAATTTTTAAAGAAAAATACGAAGTCTATGATACAAATGTGGCCAGTCAACAAACTGTTTCATTTAATTCCGGACGGAGGAAGTACTTTCCATCATTGGCCTTCTTCCGGGAACTTTAACATTGCCTAAGCAGAACAACATGTACAAGGGATTGGATGCCAGGGATTGGGGCTCCCATGGAGACTCCCATAATCCTGCACCACTGCAAGGCGTATGCAAACGCTTGACTGGAACATCGCTGCCATCCAATGTCATAGACGATTTAGTTGGGAGAGGACGAATTGGGTGGAGCGTTTTAAGGCAAGGGAGACAGTAACAGGCCTGGCGAAACACTTGGCTTGCCGAAACAGTTATGAATGGCTTGCCTAATGTGCCTGGACGCAGGCGCTCACGTTCACTGGCAATGGAAATTGCATTGTCACGAGACTGGGAGAGTGGGGGTAGGCATTGCACCCTTGGTGGGCAACAGCTTGTGCGCACATGCCCACACAAATCACAATAAGAGCAGCCATTCTCCAAACCTCGCACTTACTGTGCCACACCGATTTGTTCTCCACATACAGTGTCCAGGATATACATTGACTAACAACTGCCTCCTACTTGTTGAACCCCACCCTATTAATACAATTTCACTTCCTGTACTTTACTTTGGCCATTCACACATCACGTTGTCAGCCCCCCTAGCAACTGATGCTGCAGCATTCGCTGCTGTCCCCCCGCCCCCCCACCCCACCCCACCCCACCACCACCCACCCACCCACCCACTCACACTAACACACATCCACACCCACACCCAAACAACCACACCCACGCCCAAACAACCACACCCAAACAACCCACACACCTTTGCGTTTCTACCCTATCTACGTAACACTATCCCAACGCTTTCCGTCCCATTCGTGCACTCTTGTGATGCCAACTCAGCGACCACCGGCACAGCTCAGTTTTCTACTGTATGCTGTCCATGGTGCACCCTGTGCACCAGCCTTCCACTCATACCCATCTGGCTAGGACAATCGTCATCAAATCATTCCTGAGAATGGCCGCTGCTTGACAAATGCGTAGGCATCCCTTTCGCACAGTGATGCTGATGGTGTGTACTGACCACTGCCTCAGCTCAGACGGCAGACACATTTCGACGATCAACCTGTTTCTTGAGGTCAAACAATTGACTTCGCAGTTCGCACATCCTTGGCCTCTTTGAGGGCTCAGGCGACAAGCATTTCTTGATTATTGATGTCAACCCTTGAGGGCAATCATCAAGAAGCCTGCCAAGTAGTCTCTCAGGATGAATGCACTGCTGACCAGAAGTCATTTGCTGCGGGGGCAGCTGCACAGCGAGCTCCCATACAACCACACCGAAGCTGTAGACGTCGCTCTGAACAGTGGAAGGCTTTCCCCTGTGCAGTTCTGGGGCATCATACACGGTCCTCCTTGGCTGACAAATCTCAATCTTCTGGGCATCATACTGACGACTCATCGGTTCAAAGCAGCACAGCATGACATGCGGCGAGTCGTGCTCAACGTCATCCACCACAAAGCTCTTCGTCTTCAAGCTAGAGTGGATGAGTGGCGTGGGATCGTCATGCAGCTTTTCCAAGGCGGATGAGGCCTGCCAGAGGACATGAAGCCTCAATTGCCACGACAAACCACTGCCCTGGGCGTTGTACCAGTTGACCAAATCTGCCGTTCCCCCTTTCATCACAATTGAGCCTGACTTGGTGATGGCGAGCACACTAGCAATGTGGGCATGCTCTTTGCAGTTGTGAAGAGCAAGAAACGAGCAAGCCTTGCCAAGTCTCTCCAAACCTTCAAGGCTGGTGGAGGCAGGAGCTTGCCTTTTGACCAGTACGTTTTTTCCTTCCCACTGTGCTTCATACACCCCATCGTCGTCACTCCCGCTCCAAAAATATTCATCCTGCATGGAGATTTCTTCATCGCTGATGGGCTGCATTTTGTCCAACAGCCCAGCTGTGCTGTCCTTCACCTGCTTCCATTCTTTGCATGTTTCTGCCATCATAGGGTCTGCATCTCCAAGTACATAGGCCAATATACTTGCAAGCAAGGCTCTGTCCTCACCAATATTCTCTTTGGGGATTTTGTACTCGATTTCCACATGGGAGTTGCCGTCCAGTTTGCAAACAGAGGTGCGGAAGGCCATGCAGTATCTCTCAACAAGGCACTTGACTTCTCCGGAGGAATACCAAAGCTGGCCGGTGAACTTAGTTGTGTGATGTTTGATCAGCTTCACACAACAGTGTAAAGTCTCTTCAAGAGATTCAAATGCCTCTGGAACCTTCTCTTCCAGTCTCTGAACTGAGATGTCCTCCAACATTCTGATCTTCTGCATCTGCTGATATAGAAACATCAGCTCTGTCTTGTTGTACAGAACACTTTCAGCTTCAAACACCTGCTCAGCTTCAGCAATGGTCGAATTGAGCTTGGCCACAGAGGAACCCTGTTTCATCACAAGGCAGCCGAGTAGAGGGGTGAATAGAGCCCTTGAATTCATGAATGGATTTGCTATCTGTGGGTCCGAGTTTTCGTTATTCGAACCTCAGCACTACTGTGACCTGCCCTGAGCAGATATTATTTCACATCACATTTTTCCCTGGCAGCTCATGTCCACCATTCTACATGGGTACTAATCATCTGCCAGAATATTCTACGAACCACATTTCCCTGTATGTTCGCAACATCTCACATTCTAACAGCTGCAACAGGAGCATGTCCCACACACCATCGCACAGAAACAAGGCCCAACAACATTGCGTAGCAATTTGGACACGTCGCAGGGGTTTTGACAGGTTTCAAGAGCATGCCTGAGGTTGTTCTGGTTCAAAGTCCCTTCCCCACCAGTGAAGCGCCAGAGGTATTCATACATGCCATTCATGAATAACAGATGACAACAACATAGCAGCCAAACAGTGCCCAAGCTGTGTGCCAGAATATGTGCGGCTTACACACGTGCACAATTTTGGTGCCAACAGCCTCACAACTACACAAGTGGTTGCATGCACTAGCGCGACCATAAGCATGCAGCACTGAGCCATTTTCACAGGTCGTACTGCTGCTACCAATCTTGTCTAGGGGTATCCCCAGGTAGACACAGAGAATGACATAGCCGGCAGGAAAATAGGGAAGTTTTTCTGCTGAATGGTATACCTACCATGCAAACAACGCACAATCAAAAGTGCAAGCACCAACTCTTCTGCCACCCATTCAAGAGCACTCCAAAGAAACTGCAACACAGCAATATAGAAGACAGCAGTACTCACCGCAGCGACCCAAGCCTTCGGCATCTCTGAAAGTTGTGTACAAACCTCTTCCACAGCAGGTCGCATCTCAGGATCCTCATTGCAGCACATCTTCAACAAGTTGTGCATCTCCTTTGGACAGTCCCTCGCAACAATGTTGCAAGGTTGAACAGGCGTTCTCCCCTGCTTGCCCTGAGTTTTCATCATCATGAGAAAACATCTAGTCCTTTCACGACCCTTAATAGAGTAAGCTTCCTTGCCTGTTATGAGCTCATACATAACGATGCCCAAGGCAAAGATGTCGGATGCCGTGGTGGACACTATGCCATCATAAATTTCGGGGGCCATATACACATCAGTCCCCTCTCCCGCCCTCACTGTCAAGCTTCTTGTAAAGGTGTCATCACTTGCAACGCCAAAATCTGCCAGCTTGACAACATAGTCATCTTCAAGAGACCCAAACACCAGAAAATTGCTGCCTTTCACATCACTGTGAACAATTCCCTGGCTGTGAAAGTACTTCAATGCAAAGGCACCTTTCTGAAGAAGGAGAAGCTTTTTTGACCAAGCCAAGTCCTGCTCCTCCTGGCAAAGTGTGTGCAAGTCTCTGCCCGCCAGTTCCATGACAATCCAACCTGACTTCGTAATCGCAAACAGCCGTGGGGTGTACTTGGCATCGAGCTCAGAATGTAAATATCCCTCTTTCAGAAGTGCAGCCAACTTGTCAATGGACAGGTCCTGTACAGATATTGTTGGCTTTTTGACAGCAACCAACTCACCTTTATACCTGCCTTCATGCACGCATGCCTGCCCACCTTGTCCTAAAAAATTTCCTACCTCAACTGCCTCATCAGCAACTAGCCAATCTGAACTCCATTTCACATGCTTACTTCTGGCATCTTCCCATTTGTGCAGAAGCCCCTTGCTGGCATTGTTGCATTGCTTGCCTTCTAGAACATACGACAGCATGCTATTCAGATGCTCCTTGTCTTTGGTGAAGATGGGTTCTGGTACTACCACCTCAAAGATGTCCTGAGGATCTCTGTTTTCTACAAATCTGAATGGAATCTTCTCTTTCAGATCTCGGCATATTCCTTGGGCCGCTAATCTTGCATCAACAACCGTGTAGAACTTCTTCAGACTGAAGGGTAGTTCATGCTTTTGAACAAACCGCCGTGCTTTCCGCAGAATGGTGTCCAAAGTTTCAGCAGTCTCATCGTGCAGCCCGTCAACCATGCCCTCGACTTTACTCATTTGCTTTTGGAGAAATGTCACAATTCCAGCATTGTATGATGGCCTCTCCTACACAGAAAAATATCGCTTGGTCAGCACGTCCCTTCAGTCTTCAGTGCCAATGAACCACTGTACAAGTTGCTTTGCCATTTCAATTGTCATATACCTGAGTGGGTTCAGTCCAGATCTCCTGCTAACATGTGGAACTGGGGAAAGCCTTGAACTTGTCACAAGATCTGCCACTTTGAAGCATGGGAAGAAGGGACCAATCCGACAACAGCAATGTGGCGACAGTGCTATTGCACATCGTATGCAGAATTTACTTATTATGTGGGTCCTCTTCATGTGGGTCTGTATTACTACATTAACACTCACAACCAGGAAATGGAAACCAGTGGCAGATGACTAAACCAGAAAAATATGGCTTGTTGAAAAAGGAATTGCCACATGCAGGATGCCGGTCTGGGCCCAGCTGCCAAAGCAGCGCTACAACTCATGTACACCAGGCCCAGCGCCCAACAGAGTATTCAATAGATTCAGCACAGGGCCTGTGGCCATTGTGTGTGGAAATTTGATAAATATTTGAAAACACCATGAAAATGTTCCACACGCTCCCATCGTTTTACATGAGCTGCAAACCAGATCCATAATATAGAATTTGCAAATGAGCCTGCAAAACATTCAATACCTCGCCAATCGCGCCATGCTTCTTCAGCAGAGGCAACACAGCTGCACTTTCACCCCGTGCTGCATGATAGAGAGGAGTATGACCATCCTACACTCAAGCACACTTTGCTTCGCAACTCCTTCCAAAGTCGATCAAAGAATGCTTCAAAATGGCAAGCAACCTGGTGTGCATTGCACGCGTGCAACAGCCACATGCGCTGCACCATTGCAACCGATTCAGCAAGTACAATACCGTGCTATCCTCTTTAACAGACCTCTTGGGACATGCAACAGATTTCACTTTTGTACAATGCGCAGTTCGTCTTTGGCAGCGCTGATAACTCATGCACACAGTTGTAGTTGATTCTCACAAACAGAAGGGATCAGCAAATGCCAGGTGTGTGGTGTTTGGCAGTGCAGGGCATGCAGAACTGCCCCAAACTGGCTGATCCAACCGGACAAACAATGCAGACTGATTTTGTTCATTTTGTAGAGGTAGAGTACAATTGAGCACTACATGACAGGCAACTTGCAACTACAATTGAAAACATACAACAAGAACTGTCTTATGCGCTTGCAGAACGACATTGCTGAAGCTTGGTAGTCCAGTCAAAGGAATATCCATGTGCGCAGGAATTCGTTCACAGCACGCCAGAACATAATCTGTCGGATCAATGTACATTACATTCCTAACATTTTATAAATGCTGATGATGCTCTCTGTTGCACAGAACACCCTGTGATGGGGTGTGGCACAACAGGCAACAATTCCTGAGAGACTTGCCAAAGAGTTGTACAGGTCCATTTTTCAGCGATGGCCTTGTGTCCAACTGCAACAGTGCCATGTGCGGGCACAATTTCAGATCACATGCACATTAACTGTTCTCACCTTGTCATCCTGATACACTGAAGCTCCATTGGCTAACAACACTTCAGCAGTGGCAATGTGGCCATGCGATGCAGCAACAATGAGGGCAGTTGATCCATCCTACGGATTAAACTATGATGTCAGATTGCAATGCCTGGTTGCAACACCATGTGCTCGATTTCATCAATGGAATATGACAAGCTGCTGTCCATTGGAGTGAATCTGATGAATATCGTGTCACCAAACTTGACAGGTGTTAAATACGAAGCTGGCAAGAGCATAGTCCACGCTGCCTCACATTGGAAGTCAATAATTTGAACAACCGCCACTGCAAAAAGTCGTCCGCTGATATTATCACTTCCCTTACTTCATCCGCATGATCCACTGAAGCTCCGTTGTCCAACAACACCTGAGCAGTGGTGGCATGACCATGTTGTGCAGCGAAGATGAGGGCAGTTGAGCCAACCTACAGATTGAATCGTAAACTCAAGTCACAATACCAGGTCTCAATACCATGTAACAGATTTCATCGACAGACTAACTTGAATGTAGTAGACCTCAATGGACACTATCCACATCTTCATCGCTGGCTGCCGTTCAGTCATTTACGAATGTGTGATTATGGCGAATGAGGAGAAGACAGGGCCAGTTCACACGAATCAAGTTCATGGCCAGGCGGCACCCTCGGCCAGTAGTTAACCAGCGAGATGGGAATGCCACATTCGCGCAACGCTTATCACATGCCTTTGAAACAGCACATTCATCCAGTACTTAAGCGTCACAATGGCAGTTGATTCCTGACATTTTCAATTCCGTTTACATAAGCCACATCTGCCATGCTGAGTGAATGCATGGCCAATACTGAGCGCCATTTCGCTGTTGGAGCAGTACCAACAAGTAGCACAGCACTAACACAAAGGCGGGACAATACGCAACGCAACAATGAGGGCGCCCGCACATTGTCCGCCAGATCCACAGCTGCCCCATGATTCAGTAGAGTCTCCGCCACGGCTGCGTGACCTTCCTTGGCTGCCCAAACAAGGGGTGTCTGTCGCAACTGAGTGCCAGATGAGTCGTCAGTCAGGAAACTCAATTGCACACTGAACAGGTGGTGTATGCACACACACAACTGGAGAAAGGGCGCCTGTAGTTTTTTGATTAACCCGGCGGTATTTAAAATACTCGGCCGTCAATCAAGCCAGGCCTGCTCACAGTACAGCCCAAAGCACGGCGGCAGCCCGCAACGCATCGACAGGGCCACTGCCACGTTGGCATTCAAACACGCCCTTCTTGTGCAGCGGCAAGCCTCGCCGTGCCGGTTGCGCGCCCCCCCGACCAAGGGTAAAATTTCGACGCGAGCGATTGGCGTGTCCTGCTCTTGGTGCCCCGCGAGGTTTGCCGACGTCCGCAGCAGAGCGGGCGTCGGGGCGGGAGCCAGGCGACCTGAGGTCGCAAACGCGGCCTGGTCAAAAGGTGAAAGCCCCGACCAATGACAAACAACGCTTGAGCGCGCTGAAAGCTTCTCACGTGGGGCTTGCAACTCAAGGAACAACGGGGCTCCCGCAGCCACCAGGCAGAGCGGCGCGGCGAGAGACAGCGAAACAGCAGACGGCAGCACGGCGCGGTGCGGCGTGTGGGTCTGCTGCCTCAGTGACGGTAGGTGCCACTATCCTCGCCCCAAGTCTAACCATTCCCGCCATTTGCGTCTGCCCCTCAAGCTGCCCGAGGGTTTTAACGAGTGGGGACGCGCATCGCCGGTGCGAGGTGCAACAGCTGCAATAAACGTGGGTGCCGATGGCCCACAACGGCAGGCGAACACTTGCGGCTGTGCATGAAAAAGGACAAAGCAAAAGCGACGCGGGCGCCATGACTGGTATGGAGACCACTCAAAGACCGCGCACAAGACGCTGCAACATGGCCCAGGGTCGCTGGGTTCGCAGGTCAGTAGAAGAACGCTCACTAGAGGCTGCAGCATGGCGGCGAGCTGGCCCGCGGCGGGAACAACGCTATGTGCTGCACTGCCAGGGCCAGCCATCTCAAACTGCTGGGTTGTGGCCGGTGCTGGGCTGCGAGCGCCACAAGCACCAGCTCCACAAACACCACAAGCGTAACTTCACAAGTTGCGGAAGTGGGAGGCCGATCGGCCCCTACGATCCCACCGCTTCTCACCCTCGTGGCCACCGATCGTGGCCACTCGCAGATGCCCAGATCAGCACACGCGGGTGGCAACAATCGGAGGCACGAGGGGCAGATACCATGGGTCACTTGGACAACGCCCGGCGCCCAAAGTGCGGGCGACAATGGCAAATGCGCCGTTGCAAAGCGACGGGAGTGGGAGGCCAATCGCTGCCTCCCACTCCCACCGCTTTCGGCCCTCGCTGGCACCTATTATGGCAACCTGCGGGCGCCTAGATTGGCACCAGCAGGTCGCCGCAATCGGTGCTCGCGAAAGCCAGATTCCAGCGGTCAGTTGGAGATAGCGCGGCGCCCAGGGCACAGGGGAAAGTGCCAACCGCGTGGCCACAAAGCGACGGGAGTGGGAGGCCGATTGTGGCCTCCAACTACCGCCACTTTCGCCCCTCGCGGCCACCCATTGCGGTCATCCACGGGCGCCAACCTTGGCACTCGCGCCTGGCCACAATCGGTGGCCACAAGCGGCGATTCCACCAGCCCAAAAGGAAGCGTGCAACACGCAGCGCCCCGGCGCAAATCCCAAACGTGTTACCGCAAAGCGTCGGTAGTGGGGCCTCAATCGCCGCCCCCCACTCCATCGTTGCAGTTTGTGCCTCAATTCGCCAATTCTGGTCGCACCAGCCAACGACAAAGAGGCACCAAATGCCCAGCCAAGGCTGGCGTTTTTGGCACCTTTTGGCGCTCGTTCTGGGCAAGCCAGCGCTCCAAGCGCCGGCGATGGTCGGCACTTAGGATCGCCTGCCTTTTGGGATCGCTTGGCAGCGGCGATCGCCTGCCATGGCGCCGATCAAGCGGGGTCGAACCTCCGCTCTATCGCAAGGCAGCCAAGGCGCCAGCATCCAGCGCCTGGGCTGCCCCGCCTTGACCTTCGCTTGCAGCCCTCCCAGCGCCAACACCTTGCCCACGCTATCGTCGTCGCTCATTGACAGACCGGTGCGGATGAAAAAATCGACAACAGGAAAAAAAACGCATTTCATTGCCACGCTGCACCAATTGGAGCCCCGTTTGCTGAACCGATTCATGCACAAACTAGGGGAACAATCACCGCATCGAATAAGCGACTAAATGGTGCACGAGTTTATGCACCCATTGGTAAGCTATTTCACACACTGACTACTGTAGTTAACTTGCTATTAAAAATCAACTCCACGTGATTCGATTTTATTGCTATTGCACTTTTTCAACTCATTTTCAAACTCGTTTATATTCAACTGCTTCTCAAGGCTTTGAGAGAAGCATCTCGATAGTCCATACGACCACCCGAAGCCGCGACGCCGGGTTAATCAGAGGGCGCCGCGTGCGCAGCGCGTGCGGCGGTCCGAGCTTGTTAAAGTATCCAAGAATAATATTTCAAAGGGCAGGAAAGACTCTAACTTGAATGTAGTAGACCTCAATGGACACTATCCACATCTTCATCGCTGGCTGCCGTTCAGTCATTTACGAATGTGTGATAATGGCGAATGAGGAGAAGACAGGGGCAGTTCACACGAATCAAGTTCATGGCCAGGCGGCACCCTCGGCCAGTAGTTAACCAGCGAGATGGGAATGCCACATTCGCGCAATGCTTATCACATGCCTTTGAAGCAGCACATTCATCCAGTACTTAAGCGTCACAATGGCAGTTGATTCCTGACATTTTCAATTCCGTTTACATAAGCCACATCTGCCATGCTGAGCAAATGCATGGCCAATATTGAGCGCCATTTCGCTGTTGGAGCAGTACCAACAAGTAGCACAGCACTAGCACAAAGGCGGGACAATACGGAAGGCAACAATGAGGGCGCCCGCACATTGTCCGCCAGATCCACAGCTGCCCCATGATTCAGTAGAGTCTCCGCCACGGCTGCGTGACCTTCCTTGGCTGCCCAAACAAGGGGTGTCTGTCGCAACTGAGTGCCAGATGAGTCGTCAGTCAGGAAACTCAATTGCACACTGAACAGGTGGTGTATGCACACACACAACTGGAGAAAGGGCGCCTGTAGTTTTTTGATTAAAGTATCCAAGAATAATATTTCAAAGGGCAGGAAAGACTCTAACTTGAATGTAGTAGACCTCAATGGACACTATCCACATCTTCATCTCTGGCTGCCATTCAGTCATTTACGAATGTGTGATAATGGCGAATGAGGAGAAGACAGGGCCAGTACACACGAATCAAGTTCATGGCCAGGCGGCACCCTCGGCCAGTAGTTAACCAGCGAGATGGGAATGCCACATTCGCGCAACGCTTGTCACATGCCTTTGAAGCAGCACATTCATCCAGTACTTAAGCATCACAATGGCAGTTGATTCCTGACATTTTCAATTCCGTTTACACAAGCCACATCTGCCATGCTGAGCTAATGCATGGCCAATATTGAGCGCCATTTCGCTGTTGGAGCAGTACCAACAAGTAGCACAGCACTAGCACAAAGGCGGGACAATACGCAACGCAACAATGAGGGCGCCCGCACATTGTCCGCCAGATCCACAGCTGCCCCATGATTCAGTAGAGTCTCCGCCACGGCTGCGTGACCTTCCTTGGCTGCCCAAACAAGGGGTGTCTGTCGCAACTGAGTGCCAGATAAGTCGTCAGTCAGGAAACTCAATTGCACACTGAACAGGTGGTGTATGCACACACACAACTGGAGAAAGGGCGCCTGTAGTTTTTTGATTAAAGTATCCAAGAATAATATTTCAAAGGGCAGGAAAGACTCTAACTTGAATGTGGTAGACCTCAATGGACACTATCCACATCTTCATCGCTGGCTGCCATTCAGTCATTTACGAATGTGTGATAATGGCGAATGAGGAGAAGACAGGGCCAGTACACACGAATCAAGTTCATGGCCGGGCGGCACCCTCGTCCAGTAGTTAACCAGCGAGATGGGAATGCCACATTCGCGCAACGCTTAACACATGCCTTTGAAACAGCACATTCATCCAGTACTTAAGCATCACAACGGCAGTTCATTCCTGACATTTTCAATTCCGTTTACACAAGCCACGTCTGCCATGCTGAGCAAATGCATGGCCAATATTGAGCGCCATTTCGCTGTTGGAGCAGCACCATCAAGCAGCACAGCACTAGCACAAATGCAAGATTTCACAAAAGACTTCACAAAAGCTTTGTGCCTGATGCATGTTTTTCTTCAACCCAAACCTTTTTGCTAAAGCAGCAATAACTAGGCTAAATTACTGAACAGCATTTTTCCATCTATCAATCATTGCAAACCGAATGTGATCAAAGCCAGGAGTGTCTCTCCCACCCTCAAGCTTAAACACCTCCTGCCTGGAATTGATTCACCACCCCTGTTGCTATGGCCATCCACCAATGTGCAGCGTATTGGTCACCTGGGAAGGATCTGCTTTGGTACTGGTCAAAAAGCGCTTCCAACTCCTCAGTTTCCCTGCATCTGTATTCCAGATGGCTCCGAAAACGTGTGGTGTAAACAAATCTCCATGTTTGGACCAGGATCTGGATTCGCCCAGCAAACAGTGCCTTTTGTCTTTAAGATGTGCTGCTTCAAGCGATGCCCAGGTCTGAGAGCCAAAACTGAGCAGCTTGTACAACACTATGATAATTGTGAATTGTGTATGGGCAGGCAGTTGCTTGTGGCACCCTGCCAGATCTCTTGTGCAACATCCAATCCGTATCTGCCCTTTTGGACAGGTTTTCATAGGGTTTATTCATTTTCATGGAACTTTTCTGTGTGCTGTGTGGCAAACGCTAATTAATGGTGGCAACATTGTGTCCCGCCTGCGAACTGGCGTTTGGACACAGAAGTTGCACTCTGATCAAACAATTCAACTAAGCACTCCATTCTCGCTCAGTGGGGGGCCACAAATGTAGCATAAAGTCAGCACTGAATGTTGACCTATGCT